ACATGTTTACCGTTCCCAAGAAGAGATACACCGTTTCCGTGTGATGGTGACCAGTCCCCTCGGCAGACTTGCAGGGCTTCTCATTTTGCGCCCCTGACTTTCGTAACTCGAAAATTTTTGTCGAGGTTATGTCATTTGCTGTATCATGAAGAGCTCTCTTATTCCAGTCTGCTCCACAAAAATAAGCAGCTGCAATCAATCATGGACTATGGCGCAATCGCAGTATGTACACGTATTATCACATAACCGCTATCTTTTCACATATATTAACAGAATAACACATAGAGTCCGCTATCGTGGCCCTTTGTGCTTTGACCTGTTGGGGAATGGTGACGAAGGGGAAGCTATCTGAAAATCTGTATCCCCCTCCGCTCGAATATAGACGCATCTTCCACGAAGTCTCTCCTCGACATTGAATAAAACTGGGCGTAAGGTTACTGTAGCCCCGCAGTGTACGCAATGGCACACAGCCGCATCTGTACGAAAGAATGGCGCCATGATTGTACTTTCTTCGGAATTCTACTCGAAGGACTAAAAGGAGGCGGGGGAGCGACAAGTAGTGTCAGCATCGCTCGGTTCAGTACCGACTCTTGGATCCCATCGCCTTCCAAGTCGAACAGAGGCTAAGACTGAGTGCAAATTCAGGGCGCGACTTATCTGAAAAGTGACGGCTCAGTGCCGTGCAATTTTTAAGAACACCTCCTTTCAGAACGAGGCGTTTCATGGTGCAGCGCAGCGAAAACTAGTGCACGTCGTGCGCTGAGGGGGTCGTATTGGGCTTTGGAAAAATGCTTACGGTTGTTGACTTTCTCGAGTTTTCCCCTCGTCTCATATACCCACTATATTTCCCGCTCGACGGCTATTCAGCTGTATTTTTTAGGAAAAAAACGTGAAGAAAACCACCAGAAAAGAAAACTACGAGGATGGGTAGGAAGTTGGGGAAATTTAGGAAGGTGGTAGATAGGATACGGGTTTTGGAAAGGAAATGGGTCGCACCAGAGGAGCAAGTTTGAAGGAGGGTGTTATTTTGCAGAAATTCTCCCCAACGGCAGGATTTGCCCTGACGGAATTTGCTGTGCGTTTCTACTACATGTATGCTATGGGTTTTTCTTCATGATGAGTGAATGTGGAAGATATGTGGAAAAGTACCCGCTGCTAGCGATTTTTTTTTGCTTTTTAAAATCTCCCGTCATATGTAGACATGCTCAGAGCAATTAATTTATTTCGAGTGAATTTGGGGATTTTCGAAGAGTTTTGAGTTCTGTCCCTACAGTTTCCCCATTGAGAGCTAAATTCTACACACTTCTTATACTTTTGTATACTGAATTCCTCTATTTCTTCAGCGATTTTCAGAAGCCTGGTTTCATCGAACCTCAGCATGGTGTAAATATCTTCAAAAAACTCGAACTGAAAGGATTTAGCATGTATTGGAATTCAGACGTAAATCTTTCGAAAGACATAGATTCGCCAAGGAATTTGCGGGTAACTAATCTGTTTCGATTGTTCAGAGTTAAAATTCAATCGAGAGTTTGCTCGTCAGTCTGACATAGAGACTTCACTGACCATAAGTTTCCAGGATATTCTGGCTCCGGAGAATCCATCTAGTTGTTATATTATACATCCATGCAGTGCTGAACTGCGGATGGAACGGAACTCAAGTAAATTTCCTTTGAAGGGGCCAACACCGCGATTCAAAGTGAGTTTTTAGATTTTACTCGAAAATTTGCTTCAATTTGCTCCCCCTCCAAATGCGATAAGAATTGTGTTTAGTTTTTCCTTCGACCCGAGAAGATAACAGTGGAAATGAATCGTCGGCAAATAGCCGAGCTGCGGGCCCTGAATAGGGAATGGGCGCGCGATTTGAACGAGCCCGTCAAACATAGAAAAATGGTCGGACGATTGACGCACTGTCGAGAGAAGTCTGGTTGAAATAACATGGTAACCAAGATATGAAGCCTTGGCCTAAGTTCCTTACTGATGATATTCAGTATAGCTCTTTCAATTAGTGTGAAAACCATTAGACTAACATTTTTCAGTGCCGCTGCTTGGTGGCGATTCGCTTACAATCGAGTTAGCGACGATACTCGTCGTGTGCAGTCGCGACGCTCTTGGCATTTCGCTTTGACACGAGCTCGACATCTGAATGCTTACTGTAGAGCATATCGACGGCGTCTCTTAGCCATGATAGATGAGCCTCCCACTCCGTAAGTGTGTTATTGCCATCGGATGTGATACTCGCTAATATTCCCTTCATCTTCGTTCACCAAACGGGCGCAGTTCTGTTGGTGGTTGACACTTGTCACTTCTCCCCTCTCTCCCTCCCGCCCCCCCCCCCCCCCCCCCCCCCCTCCCCTCCCCCCCCCAAGTCAAACAGCCCTCAAAAAATGTGTACCCTTCTGGTGAGGAAGAGCAGTTCAACGTGAGGGTTTAAAGAGAGTTCCCGATCAAATGTGACGGATAGTTGCTGCTCATTTGTGAACCAGTAGCTGATAAAATTCCCCAGAGAAGAAAAAAAGCAAAAAGTGTTTTCAGGAACACCGTAAACAAAACTGGTCTCTGACAGTCACACCGCCCTGCGGTCTCTGTGCACCCCCCCCCCCTGGCTCATGAATCGTTTTTTTCGCATCTCCAAGTAGTAGATATCATTCAGTGCATAGAAAAGAATACGAAAAACAACAAAAACACCGAGGGGGGACTCCCAACAAAAGAAACTTTCAAAAACTCGGTGTACGAATTTAGGGTTACGGTAGCGTGCATCTTTTAGTGCGCCGAGTTTTTGCACCAAAAAATTGAATCAATGGGGATTTCAACGCGTTTTATCTTGCGAGATCGATTGGAGTTGACTGCGTGCGCTCCTAATGAAGAAAATGTGGTAAAGGGCAGAAATACTTATGGGCACGGGCGCAGTCAGCGATGGTCATGCGATTAAGCTCGGCGCCCAACAAAAACTGAGCGTCTCTGTGTCCAGATGTGGAGATGACATCTAGCAAGTGGGCGGTCCATCTGAACGGTGTTAAAACTAGAACTTTTAGCGGCTGTTTGGGGGAGACGGGCAAAAGAATCGTGATTTGCCGCTCCGCCGTGCGCGGCGATGGCGCGGCGTTTTCTTAACTCGTGTTAACCTGTCGATTGGAGCACCGGACTTCATGTAGACCCCGTCATCGTAGACATTCATGACTATTTTCGGTTCTGAATTGCCTGTTGTCGCCATCTACTACCTGGAACCATCGTCATTTGCGGGCGCGACGTCGCACGCGACGCCCTCCAGCGCGTTGAATTACTCCTGTCACATACCCGGCTGTAGGACCCTACTCGCTCGCTGTGGAAAAAGTGGGACAGTCCCTTAGTTGAGGGGCTGGACTACTTGTACAAGGAAGGACGACCACGAATTACTTGAGCGCGGGGCTGTCTTTGAATACATTTTATTCTGTATTACTTTTCACTCACATACTTGAGCACTTTGATACCTCCCATCCGTCGGTCATATAAATTGCAAGTCCAAATCCAGCACAAACGAGCTC